AACAGATGTAGAAAACCCTATAACACCGTTTAACACCCGTTTCAGATACAATTTTCTGCAAAGTAGGAAGAGAAAAGAACTCCACCAAATAATACAGAGCCTCTGCCAAAAACATGCTGCTGACACAGTGTCAGTGATAAGAACCTACATCCTGGGAGCAAATCTTTACCCCTCCCACATCAGATAGAGCACTAACCTCTAGGGTTTATAAAGAACTCAAAAAGCTTAAAAAAATAAAAATAATAATAAAAAAATAACCCAATCGATAAATGGGCCAAGGAACTGAACAGACACTCCTCAGAAGAGGATATACAATCAATCAACAAATATATGAAAAATGTTCATCATCGCTAGCAATTAGAGAAATGCAAATCAAAACTACTCTAAGGTTTCATCTCACTCCAGTCAGAATGGCAGCTGTTAAGAATACAAACAACAATAAGTGTTGGCGAGGATGTGGGGAAAAGGCCATTCATACATTGCTGGTGGGACTGCAAATTGGTGCAGCCAACATGGAAAGCCGTATGGAGATTCCTTGAAAATCTAGGAATGGAACCACCATTTGACCCAGCTATCCCACACCTCAGTCTACACCCAAAGGACTTAAAAACAGCCTACTACAGGGACACAGCCACATCCATGTTTATAGCAGCACAATTCACAATAGCTAACCTGTGGAACCAACCTAGATGCCCTTCAGTAGATGAGTGAATAAAAAAAAATGTGGTGTATATACACAATGGAATATTACTCAGCAATAAAAGAGAATAAAATCATGGCATTTGCAAGTAAATGGATGGAGTTAGAGAGGATAATGCTAAGTGAAGTTAGCCAATCCCAAAAACCAAATGCCGAATGTTTTCTCTGATGTAAGGAGGCTGATTCATAGTGGGGTAGGGAGAGGAGCATGGGAGGAATAGAGGAACTCTAGATAGGGCAGAGGGGTGGGAGGGGAAGGGAGGGGGCATGGGGTTCTTAATGATGGTGGAATGTGATGGACATGATTATCCAAATATGAAGACACGAATTGGTGTGAATATACTTTGTGTACAACCAGAGATAGGAAAAATTGTGCTCTATATGTTTAATAAGAATCATAATGCATTCGGCTGTCCTACGTAAATAAAACATAATAATTTAAAAAAAAAAAAAAAGAGCACAGACGCCATCCCCGGAGGAGACCAAGGCTAGCCACCTCCATCGCTCCAGCTCAACGTGGGCTGCGGGTCTGGCCGCTGCCCGCAGGTGAGGGACAAAGAAGGAAGGATCCAGGCTGCCAAACCAACTACCCTCCCTCAGACCCCAGCTCCTGCTGCTGGGAGGCGCTCCAGGGTGTGTGCGACGGCGCCAGGGACCGCAGGGAAGAGTAGGCGCCCGCGTGGCAGCGGCGCTCCTGGTGTGCATCTACGCAGACGGGTGCCTCGGTGGGCGGTGCATGGCAGCCAGGTTCAGGGCCAGCCTCAGCGCAGCTCGGAGGGCTCCCAGGTGAGCGACGGGCACAGGGGTGCGAACCCACAAGGGAGGGCTGCTCCCCTGGGGCACAGCAGGCGGCGGGCAGGCAGCGGGCAGGCAGCGGGCAGGCAGCGGCACGTGGGGCCCAGATGGCCCAGGGAAGGATCCAGATTTAGCACCTGCCACCCGCTCCCCAAACACAGAAGTCTAGACAGAGTGGCCCTCCAGTGCCAGCGAGCAGGTGGGGACTGCGCAGGGCTGAGGTCAGCACAGAGACTGGCCCGAGGGCGGGGGACGTTCGGGTGATGGAGACACTCTACATTCTGCTGGTGGTGGCCACACTCAGAGACGGCTGTCAAAACCCATCCACCGCACCTCAGAAAGGATGGCGTTGCTGTGTGTATAGTATCCCTTAAGGGAGTGGCTTTCAGAGTGACCGAAAGAAGATATGAGAAAGCACAGGAAGAGATGCTCAGCCTCACTGGGCCCAGAGAGTATGTGTCAGAGTGACAAAGAACATCAGTCCACACACACTTAGGAGGCCAGACCCAGGAGGCTGACAGCGCAGTTGGGGGTATCCCGACCCCGTGGTGGTGTGAGACTTCCTAACCTTTCCTTACGAAGCTCAGCAAAACCAGGACTAGGGTGTCCATTTCCAGATCTTTATCCAAGGAAATGAAGACGCACATCCCCACAAAGCCTTTCCCAGAGTGTTTACGCAGTGTCATTCCTAATTGCCGAAAGCTAAAAACGACCCAATACCCATCAACAGGAGGATAAAGAATCACCCGCCTGTATTCACAGCAGCAGAAGCCAGCCGCGAAAGGGTCTGACGAGGAGCACGGGGCACACACACGTCGTGCCCAGCAGAAGCCAGACGCCATGGGGCAGGTGGCACCGGATTCCATTTGTGCAGAACAAAGACCCACCAGCCATCATCTCGGCAAGGAGGATGACGCAGCTGCCCAGAAGGAGGCCTCTGGGGACATTCCTGGACTGAGATCCTGCTACTTTGCGTGTGGCATGTGTCAGAACTCGCTGGTCTGTATTCTGCATCCTGTTTAATTTATTGTATGCAAATTGTATCTCAGGGATAAAGGACCAGGAAAAATGACAATCTGAAAATGTGAGGAAGAAATAAATCTAACAAAATGTAAGACGTTTTTATTCAGGAAACCATAAAACATTATTGAGAAATGTGGAAACTCTCAGAAATGGAGAACGCACGCTTGCTTGGGTTGCAGGGCACAACGGTGCACGGATGTTGTCCCTCCACCCTGAAGGACTCTGCACAGCACCAACCAAAATCCCCCCAAAACTTCCTGTGGAAGTTGGCATGCTGGTTCTGAATTTTATGTGGAAACTCAAAAGGCAAGAAGAAACGAGACCCTGTTGACCAGTCAGAGAGGCAGGGGGATTCCCCTGCCTGCCGCCCACCACTGACCACACAGCCCAGGAGCAAAGTCAGGGCAGGGCTTACCGCCATGGAAGGGAAGGGAGCCAGATGCAGACCCAGCGTGGGCACTCCTGCTCTGCAAAATAACCGGGAGAAGAGGCTCTGCGTCCATCGGTCACAGGCACGGGAAATCAAATGACCCCAATCTCCCTCAGACACAAAAATTAACTCCAGACTGAAATCCCAGCGAAAGTCAAAACACTTAAGAAAGCCTTTAAAAGATGTAGAGAACATCTTTGTGACCTTTGGATAGGAAAAGATCTTCCAACAAGATTGAAAATGCAATAACCATAAAGGAGAAGTTGGATACATTTGGCCACATAAAATCTAAGCATTTCTGTTTGTCCAAAACCACCAGCCAGAGAGCCAAGAGGCAAAACAAGCATTAGCAGGAAATATTTGCAGCACATATAACCGACAAAGACCCCATATATAATATAAAGAAGGCACTCCTGCAAGTTCAGGAGGAAAGTGCGTCGGACACTTGAGCAAGGACATCCTGAAGCACATCAGCCCCCAGCCCGGACCTGCAGGTCACCAGGAAAGCACAAGTTAGACCTTCAGAGGGGAGTCACAACAAACCCCTCAAAAGAGCTGACTGCCAAGACCGGGGGACGCTCACACAGCACCTCTACAGGGAACCATCGGGAAGAGTTCGGGATGTCCCAGAAAGTCAAGGGCGTACTTCGTACTCCATCGCCAACAAGTGTGCTCCCAGGTTTCCATTTAGAGGGAAAATCTGCATGAACATGGCAAAACCCAAATGTTCTTCAACAGCAAAACAGATAAATAAATCTTGATACACAGCAATGAAAAGCAGCGCATTCCAGATGCACACAGCATAATGGATCCATCTTCAAAACAGCGCGTTGAGTCAAACAAGCCAAACGCAAATATACGGACTGCTTCGTTTCATCTACATAAATATTTAGGTCGTGCAAAACGGAGCCGTAGTATTTAAGGGTACCGACCCATGTGGCAATGCTATGACATGCTATAAAACAAAATCAGCTCCATAATCAGGAAGCGACTGCAATAAAAAGGTGGGGTACATAGAACACGGCCCTCCGTCTCTGCAGGCCTGCATCTGTGGACGGAGCCAAACTCCCCTCCAGATGCTTGGGGGGAAAATCCTGCTCTTCTTGAACATCGTACAGACAGTATTTTTCTCGTCATTGTTCCCTAAATGGTACCTTACACCTTCGGTCCACACTGCGATTCCCGACGGCATTCCCAGGGTGTCGGACTTGCTCTGGAGAAGCCGACGTAGGCAGTAGGACCGCCCCACCCCACAGCCACAGGCTGTGCCACAGACTTCAGCACCCACCGGCCTGGCATCTGCAGGGGTCCCCAAATCAAGTTTCCCTTGTGTTTTCTTTGGTGGCAGAAGGGGAGGCAGGCCAGGGGTGGTCCTGGTGGCCGGCCGGGAGTAGAAGGCAGGCCCCAGCTGGAGACCCTTCAAGGTCAAGGGAGGCTTCTTTCCTGGGAGGGGACTTGTGTAGCCCACCTGCAGCTCCCTCTCATGCTCCAGCCGAGCAAGAAGACAGAGAGCCAGGAGGCGGGAGGGAGGCAGGGGAGTCGCCCTGGAGGAATGGAAGCCAGGGCACACAGTGGACTTAGGCCAGCTCAGGTGACTTCGGCAAGCTGGGGTGGACTTAGCTGGATCTTAGTTTCTGGGCAGTTTGTCAGAATATGGGTTCAGGGCAGAAGCTGTTTCCTGCCTGGTCCCTTCCCCTTTCTAAGGGGAAGGAGGAAGCAGCCATGGGCTCCACCCTACCAGGGCTTTTGGAGCACTGAGGCTTCTCCACACCCTGGGGCAGGCACAAGAGCAGGTCTCCCAGGCCCACCCCAGCCGTCTGGGAAGCCCTGCCCAGAGCTACCAGGGCAGTCGAGGCTCCCCAAGCCTGGGAGACCATGAGCGCCAACAGCGCCCACCAGGGTCTAGAGGAGACCACCTGTGCTGGCAGCATCGCATCCCTGAGGAGAGGCGTATGAAGGAACAGCGTCCCTGTCACCAAAGGGAACCTGGACCCCCTCCCAAGAGTGAAACGCTAGTGGCCAGGCTCAGATGGAGATGTGCAGACAGTGCGGCTGCAGGGAGGGAAAGAAGGAAGGATTTATTCTGAAATCTCCAAGTTCAAGTTCTCATATGCAAAATACGCCTACAGATCTGAAATGGTGAAATCAGGGAACTCGGTAAACACCAGCTGCTCTGCACCCAGCTGTCTTCAGCTTGCTCAGAGAAACAGGGTCAGACGCCCAGCACCGCTCCTCACAGCCGAGCACCCGCCACCCCAGGAGCGCTGGGCTTCGGCACTGCGTCCACAGAGCTCCCACTTTGCAAATGTCCTGAGATAGTCACTGGCTTCAGAAAGAGCTGACTTCCTGGACATCTTTGAGCGCCAAGATGAACTTATTCGAAAATTGCAAGAAACACAAGAAAATATGAAGATGTTTAATGATAAAGTTTATGGACTCAAAGCAAAAATGTCATCTTTGGAAAAAATACAATACAGCTCATGATGGTGTTCAGTGGGGGTTCTCATTCGAATCCTAGGAAGAGTTATGAACGTTCTGGAAGCACCATCTGTGGACGGCAAGGAAAACGTCATCGTTATTTTGAAATATTTGATATAAAAAGTTCAATTAAATTCAAAATCCATTTTCATCATCACAAAAAATTTCAACATTATATTTGTTAATGAAAGGAAAGGATGAGTCGTACCCTGGGAGACTGAGGGCCTCCAAGTTCAACTCCGAGAGACTCGGCTGTCTCAATCCGGGTCAGTGGTAGGAGAGATTCTGCCACGGCCATCAGGGGTCTAGGGCCACTTGTCCCAGCCACCTGCTGGAGTTTCCTAACAGCCATGGGGGTGGGGAGGTCTACCCAGAAATTCCCTGGGGCCATTTCAAATGCCTCCAGCCCCAGCACTGTCCCCAGGGAAGACAGGACACAGCAGCAACCGCTGTGTCCCAAGGCCCATTCCAGGGGCCCTGAGCCTGCTGAGCCCTGAGGAGACCTGGAGCACCCCACAGAGGGCATCCCCTGTGTGTCTCTGGTGGTGTCTCGTGGAGCCCAGGGGTCTCACCTTCGCCACTAGTGCTTAGGGCCCCCCTGCAGGCGGGGAAGCTGAGGCCCAGAGAGTCGGCCTCACAGTGAGGGCTGGGGCTGGGTAGCCTCGAGTTAGTGTGATTGCTGAGCCCCCAGGGTGGGGCCAGTCTGGGCCTTGACCTGCCATGCCAGGCCCTCAGCCCCACCCTGCTGCCCGCAGCACCTCGACATCCATCGGGAGGGAGGCCACGGCTTGTGCAGGAGCAACTGAGGGTCAGGCAGGGCCAGCAACGTGCCTGCGTCACAGCAAAGCAGACGTCTGGCCTGGGAAGGGAGCTGGGGAGCCCGGGCCACACGCCCAGCTCTGGCGCACAGCCACCGACTCCTGAGGCCTCAGCAGAGCGAGGGAGGCCGCCATCACCAAGCCCAGGCTCAGAGAGGGCGGGCCAATCGCACAGCCAGCATGCCCCCAGGGAGCTGGGACAGATGCAGTGACAACACGGTGCGGCAAGGGCTGCAGTGCCCAGGGGACACGGGGCCCGACCCTGGGGAAGAGACGCTTGATGGGCAGCCACGGAGCAACCAGGTGTGGCCGGGTCATCGGTCAGCCTTGCTGCCTGACAAATGGCTGCAGAACCCAGACACCTCCAGCCAGAGACCCCGGTCCCCACACCCTGGGTCCTCAGGCCCCGCAGCCCGGCTGACCAGGCTGGCTCAGTAGGACAGTTCTGCAGCAGCAGCAGGTGTCCAGGCCGGGTCTTCGTGAGGGCCGGGGGCAGGGTGCTCCCTGAGGGCGCCTCCTGGGCCCAGGCTGAGGGCACAGAGCCCACCCTGCTGTGGAGTAATGAGCAGAGGGGCCAGAGCAAGCTGGACCTTCAGAATGCAGGTGCCAGGGCCCCCATTCCCAGGGTGGGAGGAGGGGCAGGGACTGGGAAGAGATTTCCAGCATGTTCCAGAGTGTTCCAGAGACAAGAGGAAAGAGGAGGGCAGGAGGAAGTGAGCCCCCTGGAGAGCCAGGCCTTCGGGGGGCTCCCAGTCCACAGCAGGGAGAGTTTGGAAGGAGGATTTGGGGGCACAGGGACCAACGGCTTGTTCCATGTGGTCTTGGGGCCAGAGAGAGCCAAAGGCAGAAAGAGCCCGGCTGCTCCCCGTGAGCCTTGTCCCCCTGCCACCTTGGGCTGCAAGGACGGGGCAGGGGCCTCCCGCTGAGCCCTGGTCTCCAGGAGAACACGGGCAGTGGCCTTGCTGACAACTGAGAAGCCCGCGGTCTCTCCTCTCACCCCTAGATGCCCAGCGGTGGAGCGACGCAGAGCAGGGCTCCACGCGCAGCCTCACTGGGTCTCCGGGCAGACCCCACCCCCAGCTCGGTGTCTCCAGCACACCTATCACGGCACCAGACGGTAATTAACTCCCCAAACCTCCAGAGGAGGCCAGTCTCCTCTGATTCTCGTCAAGTCCCCTTAATTATGAGCTTGCAATTGGCCTGCTCACCGACTCGGCCTGGGAGGCGGCCGTCTTCTGCTGCTCCAGATGAAAATAAGTGAAATGAGCCCAGGGGGTCCAAAAAGAAGTGGGCTTCGTGAAACAGACTCTTGCTTAGAGATCAACGAGGGCCTGCGCCCTGCTCCGGGTGGAGCCCCTGACCACCAGGCCCCGCCCACCCCCTGACCCACTCCCGGGAGATCCTACCCCCGGCACCACCCCCACGGGAGCAGCGAGGGCCGCAGAGCCCTGCGCCTCACCTGGGCCTGGCAGCTCCCCGGGGATGAAGTGGAAACTCTCAGAGGGGTGGCCCTGTGACTGGCTCCCCCTGTCACACCCGGCCCAGTGCTTTGTCCATGTGAAGACTGGCCTTTTGGAGGACCCGAGGCCAGAGGCAGCAGAAGCAAGCTGGATTCCTGCTCCCACCACCAGGAGGCCCAAACAGCCCAGCCAGGGTCAGCCAGGCCTGGCCCAGACCGAGGGCTGGTAATGGTGGCCTCTCTGAGGTAGGAAGGGGAGGCTGGTGTCCACACAGGCCAGCGGGTGCAGAAGCCACCCACTCGGCCTCTCACCATGGAGTGGGCTCAGGACCCCACCCAGGCCTCGACACCCAGCAGCTCCCTCTAACTGGAGGGTCCGTCATGAGAGCTGGTGCTCAGTGAAGCTGGTGCCCAGGCAGTGTCCCCGCCAGGCCACCTGTGCTCACCTCCACTCCAAGAAGTGCCAGGAATAGCGGCCCAAAGCCCACCCTAGAAGGACCCCAGCCATGCCCCAAGTGACCCCAGGGCTCTCGGGCCCAGAGCGAGGCTGCCTCTCCACAGGACAGGGGTCCTTCTGATCTGGCCCCACTCTACCTTCCATACCATGGAAACCCTCCCGGACTCACGACTGCTTTTGGCACCCCAGGCACACACAGCCTGCTCCCCGCCAACCCCGCCAGCTCCCGCCAAGCTCCCAACAAGCACCCGCCCACCTCTAGCAGCCAGCCCCAAGCGCCCCTGCCCACGACCTTCCCTGACGACCACTGGCCATGGCCAATGCCCTGCCATGTCCCCAGAGGATGTCAGTGCTGCTCAGGGTCTCAAGTCGGAGCCCCGAGCCTCAGTGTCCCCACCTCTAACATGGACGTGAGTTTGGAACCTTCCTCGCTGCACTGTCACAGGATAAAGGCCATCTTGGGAGGGACGGTGCTCGTGTACATGCTGCAGGTGATGAAGGACAGGCAGGACGGGCCCTCAGAGGCTGTGCAGCCCCCACAGGGGGGCCAGGGCCCAGGCAGCCCCACTCTGCCAAACCACTGCCCCGCGCCGGGTTTTCCACCTTCCACCTGGACACTCTGAGCTGCCTGGATGCAGCCTCCCAGCCGGTCCCTGTGAGATAATTAGCCCGTGGCCCGCAATCTCTGCATTTTGAAATTCATCCTGAACTCTCGCAACCCGCTGGGCTTCATTTCAAATGCCCGTGCTCCTCCGTCTTCCAAGCTGCCTTCATTAATTCTCACACCAGCCCGGGCACAGCGCCCGCCTCTCCTCCCAGGGCCGCCGCCGCTCAGCCCTGCAAATTGATCGGTGCCCCCTCCTCCCCGGTGTTTGCACAACGGGAGACGGCCCATGTGTCCACGACCCAACGATTCCTCCTTTCCCGTCAATTTGCAGAAAGCGCGGCTCTGCGGCGGAGGAAGGTGAGGTGGGACTAATTGGCAGAGCTGAAGAGGACCGTCTTGCCCCAGAGTGGGCGAGAGGCCGCGGACACGTCGCCGTTTAATTGGTTACATGTGACCCCATCCTCTTTTTTTTACTTAATTCTAACTTTTAACATTTGAAGCCGCATCAATATTAATTACTGCTGACTTTCTCTGAGTCACCTCTCACCCGGGAAAGGCCACGTCCATTTCTCAAAGGGAGGAAGATAGACTTGCTGAGCACCAGGGCCGGGAGCGACCTTGGAGCGCCTGACAGTCTGCAGGTGTAGCCTCGTCCCCACAGTGGGATCCGAGCCTCAGCCTCCACCAGGCACCATGGTGCCATCTCCTGTCCCACATCTATCGTCACCTCTTCATTTCAAAGGGAGGAGGGACAAAAGAAAGGACCAGGCACTAAGAGACGGACAAAGCCACCCGTTTTGTCCTCGATCCTCTGGCGTTTCTCAGGGGCTCTGGAAGGATCATTTCTTGACTCTCCTGAGGGGCGGAGTCCAGGACTGCCACAGGGGATAGCCCACCCTCAGGCTGCTCCTGAAGGAGGTGCTGAATTGGCTCCTGGACCCTGGAGCCATGTGGGCGGGGCACCGGGAGAGGAGTCCTGCTCCACCGCAGCTCACCATGGGTCAGGACCCCACCCAGACCCTGGACACCCAGCTGCTCCCTCTAACTGGAGAGTCCACCATGAGAGCTGGTGCCCAGGCAGTGTCCCCGCCAGGCCACCTGTGCCCACCTCCACTCGCCCACCATCAGGCACAGGCACTGAAGACCCCGTTGACTCTCAAGGCCCAGAGGAGCCCATGTGCTCATGAGTGGGACAGGGCCCCTGCAGCCACTACCTACAGGGACTGCACTGCCACCTCGCAGGGTGCCCCCAGGTCCCTCTGACTCATGCGCCTCTGTGGACACAATAGAGAGAGACACAGAAAAGACCCTGAAGTATGGCTGAAGCGCAGGCGTAGAGCCACGGGCACCGCAGCCTGGGGACTTCCAGGCCACAGCAAAGCCTGGCCCAGTCCCCATCTTCAAGTACACGGGCAGGCAGGGTCCTCACTCCCCAGAGCCACTGGGGACTGAGCCAAAAGGAAGAGCTTTGCTGAAGGTTGGGGCTGCAGGAAGGAGACGGGGGAGGGGCCGCGTGGGCCCCGAGGCTCCAGGAGGGACCCCCAGCCAGAGCATTCACCCACCTCCCCAGGACCACTGCAGGAACTAGCCGCTCTCTCACCCAGGGCATGACACTGCGTCCCACCCTGCACCCAGACCCCTGCATGTGACCTTATTTGGAAAGAGGGTCATGGCCGTGACGTCATTAGTTGAGATCAGGCCACCATGGAGTAGGTGGGCTCAACGTCCAGGGTGCCTGGTGCCCTTACAGGAGAGACTGAGGCTCAGCCAGAGTCAGAACGTGGTGACAGAGGAGGCCGTGTTGATGCAGCCACAAGCCACAGAGCCTCGAGAGGGCCACCAGCTGGAAACCGAGAGGAAGGCCCAGGCCAGGGGCTCCCCCAGCCCTCGGGGAGGGGCACACAGCCCCATCGCACTTTGAAGTCACCTCCAGAGCAAGGGGAAGGCCATCTACAGTTTTCAGCCACAGACTGGGGTTTGACAGCATCCTGAGAAAATTAATATAGTGTCCACGGTAGGAGCTCTGCTGACCACAGGAACAGCTCATGTGAAGTCCATCCTGAGGATAAGCAAACAGAGGACGGAGGTCGACAGGCTGCCCGGTGTGACCAGCTAGCAAGCAGCCTGACCAGACCTGGAACCCAAGCTACCAGCCCTGCTCTGTCCCACACCCCAGCCGGGGCCTCCACGCCATCTAGGGGCGGAGGGCACCATCACACGGCCAGAGGCCCAATGCCCGTGCTCAGGTCACAACGCAGAGGCTCCTCAGGCCCAGAGACACGCTGGGCAAGAGAGCCGTTGGCTGTTCCCAGACAGGCAGGAGGGTCGGGATGGGGTCACCCAGGGTCACCCAGACCAAGTACCTACAAGAGCCAGGCCGCTGGTGACACAGGACTGACCCGGCCGTGGGACCAGGGCCTCTGGCCAGACGTGGGAGCCTGATCCACAGCGGGCTCCTCAGCACCTGCCTCAGGTTTCAGGCCTGAGTCTTCCAGAAACTTCCCTCCCTGGCTACCAAACGCGGTCCTTGGAGCCGCCTGCTCTAATTGCGGGCAGCGATCACTCCCACAGTTTCAGGGCCAACAGCTGGGCTAAGTGGCCGTCCCCAAAAGCCATTTCCTGCCTGGCTGGGTACAGAATGTTCTTTTCCTCTAAGTAAAATAAACAGGTCTGAACTCATCGGGCTTTTCTATTTGCCTCCTCTGAAGCCTTCTAGCTCCTGGGTTTTTATACAACCAAGATTTATCGTGTCGATTCTCCCCAGCGCGGAGTCCCACGATAATGTTAATAGATGGCTAGTTTTGTCGATAAATCCCTCCGGCAGGGGAGAGGAATATCTATTTCAGATGAGTTCTCCAGAGCTGAATCCAGGCTCCGGGCGGTGAGGGCACTCAGGCCGGACGTCTCCACTCCACAGGCAAGGGCACTTCCGCAGAGCCTGGCCCACGCCCACCCCCGCACCCGCTACCCAGGCACCAAGGCCCACGCTGGGGCAGAGGCGGCCCGGGCACATGCCCCAAGGTGGTGGATCAGAAGGCCGCTCCCAAGTCAGGGGCCAGAGGCCAGAGGGCACTCAGTCCCCAGCCACTGGGTGAAGGGTCAGTCCTGTGGCCTCTCCTCCGTCCTCACGTCCCCACAGCCCAGGCCACCAGGCATGCTCTCAGGAACAGCACTGACCACACCCTCCCTGATGCTGGAGGCCATGGGGCTGTCCTTGCACCCAACCCCCCTGGGGCCGCTGTGTCCCCTTGGCCTCCGGCTTTCCCCGTCCGTCAGCCCTGAGGCCAAGCACTCATCCTGGAGACTGCTCTCCCTGAGCAACAGCCCAGGAGCAGGGACAGCCCAGGTCTCCCGTCTAAAGCAACAGGTCGGAGAGGGAGCCCTGGCCACCTCTCTCCAGTCCTAGCATCTCCCCTGCTGAGGACACCTGCTGAGGACACCTGGGTTCCTGAGCCTGGCCCAGGGGCCGTCTGCCCAGCGTGTTCACGGTCTTCTGTTCCTTGAGGGCCGACCTCACACCATGCAGCCATCCCTGCCGGGAAGACGGCAGCAAAACTGCTGTCCCCAGGGCCTCGTGGGGACATGTGCCCCAGCCAGCCCTGGCCAGCTGTCGGCACCTGGGTTTTGTCCAGCCAGGGGGGCCCCCTGTGCTCTGCCCCTTGCCTGCCTGGCCGCTCCCTGGACAGGGCTGCCACAGAGTCCAGGGAAGGAGGCAGAGAAAAGCAGTCACGGCATCTTTTCTTTGAGAAAAAATAAACCATTGCATCAAAGTTCTTTGCTCAGTATGACTCAGGGGGGAGAGACAGGAACACAGAGGTCACCATGAAAGGGAACCTCTGCTGGCCAGGCCCTGGGCAAGGCCCTCGCAGCCACGCTCACTCTGTGATCCTGTGGCACCCCGGGAAGTGGTTCCCAGCATGGACCGCGCTCGACAGTGCAGCCCAGGGGCAGAGGAGACGGAGCCCCCACGCCCGCCAGGTCCCACCCAGCGCTGGTGCCAGGTGAGTAAAGACGGGGACAGAACGGAGCCAGTGACCCCAGGAGCAGCGCGGCTGGCGCGTCCCCTCCACACTCCAGTCGGGGTTCAGCCCTGAGTGGGCACTGGGTCCACCAGCACCAACAGAATCTGCAGCCCTGGACACGGCACCGAGTCCCTCGGAACCTTAGTCTTTCCCCTGGATCTGGGTGGCGCCACCATCACACGCTCCGCACGGCTTCCCCCACTTCCCGTTCTGCTCGGTGTCACTTGGCAAGCTCGTCTGTAAGGAAGGACTCACTCTGACAGCTGGGACGGGCCCTCGGGAAGATGGCCGCTGGCCTTCCTCAGGGAGCTGGAGCCGGACTCCCCGTGATCAGTAATGAGAGTTCATGGGCCCGCAGCGCCTGGCGAGGGCCTCGGCAGCTGTGTTCACCCGTCCTTCTGCGTCACCATCAACATCCGGCA